AGGAATAATTTAGAACTGGCCAATAGCGGGACACAAATTTGCATTCAAATGGCGGGAACTCTCTTGCACCGAGGTTTTTCTGTTGCAACAAAAACCTTTGCTGTGCAAGAGGCTCTCATGTGGCGGGAAAATTCCATCGTGCCGAGGCACCAAAATCACTGGGTTGTGACAAATATTAGGCCATTGGTACCGGACAATCAGTGCACCCGTAATATACAGGTATCTTGCTGAAGTCACAGCCTGCAGAACTGGGGAACTGGGATGATTCCGCAGAGGCCCGCCCTGGGGCGCCCGCCGGTAATGCCGCTTTCACTCCCTAGCCCCGCCGCGCGCTTGCCTCTGGCGCTTTCCGAGGCTGTGCCACGCGGCGCCTCTTGCGCCTGAACGGGGCGGCTGCGGGCGAGGCTGCCGTGGGGAACCCGCGCAGTCCAGCGGAAACGCGGCGGCGAGCGGACCGGGCGTAGGATGCAGGGGAGCTCGGCCGGGGGCTGCCATAAGCCGCTCTCCCCGCGCGCTGGCCTCATTGCCCCTCGCTCAGGAGAGCGCCCTGGCGGCTTTGACTGGCCTCCCGGGCTCCGCTCGGGTGTTGCACCGGCTGGGCCCCCATGGGCACCACGCAGGGCAGCACACTGTGAATACGGAGCTAGGTGATGTAGGCAGATGCCCCGAGCAAGGCTGCCACACTTTGTTTTCTGGCTGTGTAACAGAGCTACCAAGTGGGCAGCACTGCATAAAGGAAGCCTGAAATGAAAGCAGCAGCTCATGCTGTCTTCAGATGCATTTCCAGTTTTGTTGATAACTGCTGTGAAGTAGTGAAGTGGAACAGGTTGCAGTGGAGGATGTGGAAGTTCTGGCCCTGATACATCTGCCTGTGAGGTAGATAACACGTAAGGGAGTGATGTGCCCTGTACAGGAGGGAGGAATGCTGACTTTTGAAAACCTGGGAAAATAAGTAGCTGGGGAATGGAAAGCCTGAGAGAGTGGGGTCCTCGCTATAGCAGAACTCCATTTAAGGCCAGATCCCGGTAGTGCATTTTATTTGTGCCCCCAAGCCTCTCCATTGGTTCCCAGAGCTCAGTGAGTTCCTTGAGCTGCTATGACAAAAGTCTGCAACAGTATAAATGTAAAGGCTTCACTTCCTGCTGCAGGATATTAAGGCCACAGTCTTGCAGAAATCTGTTGTCCCAGGGTGGGGTCTGTTTGCATGTGCTTATTTGCTCTCCCTGAGATGTAATGTTTTTTAAATCCTCAGGGTAAGATTTCTGGAACAGGGGTTCTCTCCTCCAGCATCAGCACCGGGGGACCTTCCCATTGTTGTTTCTCCAAGCAAGCTCAGAAGCTACATGCAGTGCCCCTTTTTCCTCAGGGAGCCTCACTGAAAACAGTGGTTTGCCCATGCTTTTCCTAGCGCAAGATAAGAGACCACTGAAGTAAGGGAGATCACTGGAGTAGTCTTTTCTCCCTCTTTCTGGGGTCTTGACTTGTTTACAGGGCTTACTAGGTTGATTTAAAAGGCCAGCATCTCCGGCGAGATCAAGTGTAAAGCAAGGAGGGCTTGCAGTTCTGGTCCCGAGAGAGACAGATTGTGTGTGGAACGCACCTTTAATTGTACACTGCCAAGTCCATGATAACGATCTTAAGCCCTTGTGCATCATTGGCCATGGATCCTGAGATGAGACTGGTCACTGTTCCAGTTTGGAATCCTTATGCTTTAATTCAGCAGAGGGGATAGGGAGCCAGGAGAAAGCTTTGCCCTTGAAACACACTATTCTGCAGCAGCCCATCCCTCTAGTCAGAGGGGCCTGCAGGGGGCAACAGCTTTATAGTTGATCCTTTTGGTTTAATTGTAGGCTGCTGTTTGGTTCAGGAATCCATAATAAGATATTGTTGTTTGGGAGGGTTGGAAAACATGCAGTTACTGCTCCTCTGTGCTGTCATGCTTAGTGCTTGGGCTTGTGCTTCCTGTTGAGCCCATGTTTGGGAGAGTCCTCCCAAAGTGACCTGCTGTTCTCAGGTGCTCTTGAGAGGAGTTCCTCTCAAAGCCTCTCAGACTGCAGCCTGGTGCCTGTGGTCAGCAAAGCTCTTAACACACACGTGTATGAGCAGCAGGGTCCAAACTCCTTTTTCAAGCTCCTGGGAAGGGGGTGGTTCCTGCCTGTGTGTAGCTTAACCTGACAGTCAGATATCTGGAGGAGTATGAGCAATGCCAAGCTCATTCCTTGAACAGTCAAGTTGCTTCTTGTCATGTGTGTTTCCGAGACTTCATGCTGCAGGGAGGTGTCCAGCCCAGCCACAGTCATGCTTTTGGGGTGTTCCCACTGTTAACAGGCCTCAGTTACCACATTTCCCTCTTTCCCACCCACTTCCTTCATGATCCAGCTCATCTCTCACTAAAGAGAGGTAAGAAGCAGGTGCAGTAAAAATTCATGAGAAGTCTTGGCAAGTGCTCTTGAAACTCCAGTTTCTTGTGGTTGAACATTTGCCCCAGGCATTTTGCTGAAGCATCAGTGTGAAGCTTCTGCTTTGCCTGTTGACACAAACTTCCTGGGTGATCAAGTCAGGTGCTTGATTTGAGGTTGCTATGGCAAGGCTTTGATTCCCTGGCTGGTTCCTCGTTTGTGATGTATAGCCAACAAGATCAGAGCTTCATAGCTTGTCCTGGCTCACATTGGCACAACTGTATGATGGTGCATGAAAGGGCAGTGGCTCTATTATGAAAGAACCAAGAAAAATCTGAGTTGCTGAGTGGGTACCTCCAACAGGGCAGTTTTAGTTTGACACCCTGTATAACTCCTGAGCACTGGCAACCATTTTTTCTTGAAGGCAATACTTATATAAAACAAGGGGGTGAATGTCTGTGCTTCAGAGTTCTGTTCCAGTTTCTTCTCCTTCCCTTGGTCCACATCTGCTGTAGCAAGACATCTTTAGTTTTGAAGAGTTCCTAAATGTCTGGTGGCAAGACCCCTTCAGTAGCTTCCTGAGATGCTGGGTGGGGGTGGGGTATTGCAATCCTCAGATATACTTACATGACTTATATGACTTCTGGCATGACATCTTCTTTAATTGGATTGCTCTGAATTCTGTCATATGGGAAACACTTTGATCTTTAGCTTTTATGTTCCACAGCTTTGAATATGTAAAGATGGGCAAGAATGTTCATCCCTGAGGCCCTTCTTTTCTCAATTGTCTGTTTATGCCCTGCTCCTCCTTGCCTCCCTAGCCATATTTCCTCAATATTTGCTGTCACTGCTTCTGAGGGTAGCTAGAGGCCTGGCTGAAGAACAGCCCCATCAGGAAGCTTTTTAACAGAGCCTAACAGGGCATACTGCCAAATGGGAATGGGAAAAGAGCATAGAATGTAAGAGATGGCAGGGCCAGATTTCTGTATGTCAACTGAATACCCCAGCAGTAGATGCTTTAGAAATGCATGAGATCTGGAAGAGTAACCAGGACAGAACTGTAAGGGTCAATACCATCCTCCCAAGCCAGGGGCAAAATACAGCCCGTGGGCCGAATCCAGCCCACCAGGTCATTCTGTCCGGCCCATGTGGCCCCTAAAAATTTTAGTAAATTAATACTTATTTGCTCTTGGCTGCCTATCAAAGATTACAGGAGCTAGGGGCAGTAGGACCCGGGGGAGCCAGCAGCAGCCCAGCCCCGCCCCACCCCACCCCCAGTCATTTCCCTGCCTTCCTGCCCCCGCACTTCTCCGGCACCACATGGCTTCTGGCTGCCTCACCGGACCAAGGAGCAGAGGGCCCACATGTGTGCATGTGCATAGGGCAAATCCCACACGCACACTGCACCATACATAAGTACCCACACCCCCTTGCACTGCCATATGTGCAGGCTAACCCCATACCCAACATACTCCCTCACCCCACACCTATGCACCCCCACAGGCATACTCACACCTTCCCTAACACCCCACACACCCACAGTCCCCCACAAACCTATACTCACCCCCTGGCAACATACAAGAGTAAGACTTCATTTTAAGCTATTGTGCAATCACACTATACAAACACATGTAAATCAGGACAAAAATAATTTTTTGAAATAAAATTAATGAAAGTTGTTGATGTTCACTTTTTGGAATATAATTTGGTATTTTTCTGGTTCCAGAATGGCAAAACCCCTTGCTGAAAGGAGTACTTCCACAGGCAAAGGGAGGGACTTCTGGTGGCAAAGGTCAGGGGTTAGGAGGTGGGATGGTGACCAGGGGGTGGGGCACCTGTCGAGGGGCAGGGCTATCCAGGTGGCCCTCGACAGCTTGCCAAAACTCAGTAAGCAGTCCTCCGCCCAATATAATTGCCTGTGCCTGTCCTAAGCTGACCAGTTGGAATCTGACTTCTGCCTCAGCATGCCTGTGGAGATTCTGCATCTTCTGCCATAGGGGATTGATGGCTGAGTTACACAGCCCATTGGTACATCCTCAATGCCTGTTGTTTGACAGTGGGGAGTAAGGTATGCAGGCTTGTACAGCAGGGAGATGTGCACAAAGAGTTAGCAAATCATTGCCCTTCCTGTGGGATCAGAACCCCTTTCAGCTCTGTATCCTCTCACCTGGCTCATGTTCTTTGGCTGTGTTGGTGAACAGGACTTTGAGTCTCCCTTTCAGCTCGTTTCACCTGTCATAATGCTCTGGGGTGTTGTATGTAGCTAAAGGCACTTGGTCTTTGTCCCCACTCTAAAATCAGTTGGCCAGTCTTGTGCTCAAGGTGGTAGTTTGGCTTTCTAATGCAAAACTATGGGTTACACTATTAGCATTTGAAATTAAATAGCAGTGAAGTCCCTGCCCTCTCTGTAGAGACCAACAATGCACTGACTGCAGTGCCTTCTCTGATGGACATTTGCCAACAAGGAACTAGACTGAGAACAAACTCCTTTTGCAGAGGCGCAGTAATATCTGTTGATATCTCTGGTGTGCAGGTGGAAGTAACTTGGCTGTTGCTGTTAGATCATGCTCTGGGAGGTCCTGCAGGGAAGGGGAGAGCTTCTCTTTGGTTTTTTGTCTGTTACAAGTTTTCCTTCTCTCTCAGGTGAAGAGGAAGTTGGATTTGGAGACTGACCACCAGTACATAGCAGAGAGTTTCCAGCCATCCCGGGGGAAAGCAAAAAACCCTGTCAAAGGTACTGGGACCATTTCCTGCACTACCAGGGCAGAGTTCCCTCCAGGCAGTGCATCTTCTATCTAAAGGGCTGGTTTCACATCTCAGTTAAGCAGTGGTACCTGGGATGGGGTATGCTGTCCGTTACCTCTCTGAGGTGATCGGGGTCTGCAGTGCCTCCTACTTCCTCTTGTCTGCCTTCAGGCTGCTCTGTGCAGAGCTGGGCTTGGGACTTTCAAAGCTGGCCCAGCTTTGGTGAAGGACGGTGGATGTGAATGCAAAGCTTGAATACTTGGTAGTGCTTGGTGGATTAGACATGAATGTGTCAGCAGCCAGCTTTTGACACTCCCCCCAGCTTGCTCCTATCCTATTTGCAGTTCAATGGTGGCCTCTTTGGGAGAGTGTTCCCCAAGTGCCCCCAGAAATAAACATGTGGAGACTGTTGGTGAGATGTGGGCTGATAGGTTTGGAGCTTGATGGCTTCCTATGTCTACACAATAGGTATGGTTGCAGCAGCAACACTCTAAGCTCCCTTGACCTAGCAAGGAATCTTCCTGGGCATGTGGGGTAATTTAATCACCATGGCTTGATCACTCTCCTCTCCTCTGAGGGGAGGATTTGACTCTGTATCTTGCTATGCCCACATTGCCTAAGCCCTTTGAGAATGCAGACATGTTAGAGAAATCCTTTTGGTTTAAGACAACTAAAAAAAATTCAGTGCATGTGATTGACTCCTGAGCAGTTGAGCCTCCTGTGCAGCCAGTTGTGTGAAGAGTATAGCTGCTGCTTTGTAGCAACCTTTCACATGCCTCTGCATTATAGGTAGGGTCCTTGAGTTGCTTGTTTCTCTTTGCAAGTTCTATTCTTCATTGGCTGGAGCTTGTGAGTATTTCTCTGATGTCCCAGGCTTCTCTGCAGAAGGGCTGGACTACAATAATGGATGGGAAGGCTACAGATGCTGGCATCCAGCTTTAGTCTTGTGGCTGCCACTCATATTCTGTAGACTACCCCAAACATTAAAGATGAGCAACTGCTACTGTCTGCACTGACATGTAGGTCGGGTACCATTAGCGTGAGGGGCCTGAGCTGTAATCATGACTGAAGGAGGTTTTAATGCCTCTGACCTTCTGTGGGGATGTTAGGTCCAGGTGAGAAAAAGTAATCCCTGGTCATTGTGCCCACATGGCTTGAGCTTTCTAGCAGTTTTAAAACAAACCAAGATTCTTACTATGTAGCTGCATGGGTGACAGCTTTAAATGCCCTTCCTTACCCAGTGATGGAGGTAGGGGAACAATTGGAATGAGGGAATGAAGTTCAGCTCCTCTCACATTCATGATTTGCTTGTTGAAAAGTTATATGCATCTGCCAGCTGAGATTAACTTGTTCTTGCCTCTGAGGCAGCCACTCACTTATGTCATAAGCTAACCTACAGCTTGCACTGTTCTGATGAAGTATATAGGTCCCAAGGCACTGTCTCCTTTTCCTGATTGGATGAGTCATTCTGCAATTGTGATAAGTAGTGAGAGGTCATGAATAATGAGGATTTGTTTTTGAGTCTCTTGACTCTAGAATTGGGTTTCCGTTGTGGCTACATCATGCTTGTTAGCTCATTAATATGCTGGTTGCCAAACACACAGTTGGGTGTTTTTACTGCCAGCTACAGGTGTGGCCACGATTCTGCAAGCTCGGTCTTTGGTGGCTTTGAGGTGGCTCTCCAGAGGGTCGGACCTGTTCTACTGCAGTAGTTGGCATGCTCAGGCTTTTCGTGGGTGAATGCTATGCAGGTGATGGAGTAGGTCTGGCCTTGATAATTAAAGCATCCAGTGATAATTATAGCAAAAATTAACTGGGCCATGGGTGTTGGTTTATGTGTTGAAAGCTGGCGGAGAGGCTGTTAGCAAAGGGTTAAGATGGCAAGTGGGTTACTGCGGTGTTGTGCGGATCATAGTCATCACATGGAAAAGCTTCTCATTTATGGTGCAAAATAGGGTAGATCCTGGCAAACCAAAACCAGAATTCAACTTCTAACATGTAAACAGGCCATGGTGAATCTAAAAGTGAGAATAAACATGGGAGCATCATCTCTCTTTAATCCTTTTCCAAAGGGCCAGGAGTCTCATGAAAGAAGGGGCCACACTTCTTGTGCCTTTGTCACAACTGCATAGACCTCTAACAAGTGTATTTAATTGATTGCAGGAGCAAAATCTCCTGGGGAGAAATCCCGCTATGAAACCTCTCTGAATTTGACCACCAAGCGTTTCCTCGAGTTGCTGAACCAGTCGCCTGATGGGGTGGTGGACCTGAACTGGGCAGCAGAGGTCCTGAAAGTACAAAAGAGGCGGATCTATGACATCACCAATGTCCTGGAGGGCATCCACCTCATCACCAAGAAATCCAAGAACAACATCCAGTGGCTGTATGTACCACTGTCAGTGTTCCCATCATGCTCAGCTACCATCTAGCACAGTCATCACAGGCATAAGCCTCTGGGGCTTGTAGGTTTCCTGCGTGATTGCTGTTTTGAGGGCTGGGCAAAGCAGCTCTTGCCTGCACTGGCCAGAATGCATTGGATATTTGTGTGACCTGAACTGGTGGAGTTTCCAGACTGTACCTGTGTCAATCACTGAATGGTCCTCCAGAATGATTGTGGGGTTTGTCACAGACTGGTGTAAGCCTAGGATGGGGCTGTGTAGGCACTAGATCACAGCTGTGATTCCTGGTTGATTCAAATAATTAAAAACTGTCTGTAGCTAGAAATACTTCAGTCCCTGTTTTCAGTATTAAATGCATGCCATGGGACTCCAGAGTGACTCCTGCCCCTTCTGCTTCCTTTCCTGAGGTCTTGAGAACTCCACTGTGGGGGCATGGGCTTCCAAAGGAGCTGGTCTTCTGCCCATTTCTGAACCATGGCTATCCCTTTGCCCTTCTCTAGACTAGTAGAGACCTTTTCAGACTCGAGGCATTCCTTCATAACTTTTGTGAATTGAGTAGCACCCCATTTCAAAAACTAATTCATTTACTATAATTCTTACCTCCTTGCAGTGGGGGTCAGGGAGCTGTCGGGCAGGGAGAGCTGGGGCCTGGTCCAGCAGAAAGTCTGAGGCCAATTCAAGAAATGAACCTAGATCTGAGCCCCAGTCAGGGCTTGAACTTGAAGAACATCCATCCAATTTAAAACTTGCTAGAGAAGGGGAAAAAAGCTTGAACTTGCCTGTTCCTAAAATCAGAATAAGTAACCCTGACCTCCTGCCAGTCAGGCCTACATCATCCAGAAACACAAGGCTTGCATCTCAGAGTAGCGGCTCTAAAAGTCACTTATGTCGCTGCGAGGGCAGGGAGTGTGGAGTGGTTCTCTTGGACCAGTTTTAGGGCTCTGCCTGAACTATGCATGTGGCTTTTGAGTACCCCTTTGTGAAGAGATGCTTCACAGGCAATATCCAGTTATCTGGCATCTTCAGGTCTGTGGTGGGTGGCCCCTGGGGCTTTATACATAGAAGCTGAGCTTAAGGAGGCCTCCAGTCTGGCTCCTGTCATGTAGATATGGGGTGGCAAGGCTTGCAAGGTAGCCTGGTAAATGTCTCTAATGGCTGGCTGCTGATAGGGCAGTAGATGTGACTGCCTTCCCTGCAAAAAGCAAGATCTGCAGCAAGAGTAGGAATTTATCTGCCCATGGGGTTGAGAGAGATCAGGGAGACTTGTCCAGGAGGGATCATGGAGAAGCCATCACAGCTTGCAGAATTGCTGTCCTCTTGGTGAATGCATGTGCTGGGCCTGGTGGACATGGAAGACTCCAATCTGGGGGAGGGGGGGAAGAGGCAGGGCAGTCAGATGGGTCAGACAGATGCCTCAGTCAGATGGGTCAGAGGGCCAGGACAGGGATCAAAATCCCTGCCTGATCCTTCTGCTTAGTGAAATGTCACATGGTAGGCCAGCAAGTCAAAAGAGGTGTGTGTGCAGGCATGTTTGTGGGTTGAATGGAGGGGCAGGTTAGGTACGTCTGACCCAAGAAGGGGGTAGGTAGCGATTGAGGCTTGCTTATGTAACTGCGTATATTTTATCCATGTAAAGCAGTGAGTTTCAACCAGGGTGCCACGGTACCCTGGGGTGTTTTGAGATCTTTTCAAGGGGGTTCCAGGACACTGTGCAGTGATAGCACTACTAGCTGTGCAAACATTCACAAGATAAACCAAGAGATTTTGCATTCATGGCATGAAAACTATTCTCCCCTGATGTGGTCTTTCTGAGGTCTTTGCAGAAAAATTGTTCTATTATTTTTCTGTAGCCAATAAGAGTGGGGGGGGAAAAAAAAGAGCTGGCATTTTCCAAGGAGTGCTGTGAATCTATCTAGGGGTGCCTTAAACCTAAGAAGGTTGAGAACCACTGATGTCAAGGGTCAACCCCACTCCAGAGTGCAGGGGAAGGTTAGCAAGAAACTGCTCATGAACGCAACTGACCCATGTGCTTTGTGACTGACTCATGTGCTCTGTTTCAAGGGGTAGCCAGTTGACTGTGGGGACATCCAGTCAGCACCAGGTGCTGGAGAAGGAAGTCCAGGACCTTCAGGCAGCTGAGCGGCACCTGGACGATCTCATCCAGACATGCACCATCCAGCTCAAGCTCCTCACTGAAGACCCTGAGAATCAGCAATATCCTTGTCTGAGCAGAGCAGAGGTAGCACTTCTATGCAACGCAGTCTGGTAGCTTTGTCTGCTGTCACTGGCCTTGAATAGTAGCTGCACAGCTATAGATCTGACAGCTAATCCCTTCAGGGCCTAGATGCACCAGCCTGGAGGAGACCAGTATTGTGATGCCTCAGGGAGAAGATTGTTTGAGTTGTGCTGCTCTGTCTTGTTAGGTGGGGAAAAGCTTGCAGTTGACTCCGAGGAAGAAAGAGCTAGAACAGGGGTGGACAAAATATAGCCTGCCAAAGGATTTTTACCCAGCCCCCAGTAGGTTCCTTGGTCCCACTCAGCGCAGGGGTCAGCCCAGGGCAGGATGTGGTACACACAGCGGATCCTGCTGTCTCCAAGTGTGCCACAGGGCTGGGGTGGCTTGGTGACCAGACTCTATTTCCTGGCAGCCCCTGCGGCAGCTCCTTCCAGCTGCTGCTGCCAGACCCAATCCTCCTGCTCAGGTAGCGTGGCCCATCTGCCCTACACCACCAGGGATCAGACCCAGGCAGGTAGGGCACATGGCCAGGCACCTGGGATGGGGCTGTGGGCCAGCAGAGAGTGGCATCCAGGAGTGAGGAGGGTGGGCGGGGCTGGGGGGGGGAGCCCAGTATCTTGGCAGTGGCAGTGCGGGGCCAAGGCCCAGGGCAGAGCTACCATCTGTTGCCTGCATGCTCCTGCCATGGGCACAGGTTCTGTGGGCAGGGCATGCAGGGAGCAGATTGCATCCCTGCCCTGGCCCCGGGCCCATGCTCTCACTGCCCCAAGATCAAAGGGTCCACCCCAAGATCATGGGGTCCCTGGCCCCAGATGTAGCTCCTTGCCCACCCATTCACCCTGCCTGCATGCCTTCTGGCCAGTTTCCATGGAGTCCCTGGGATTGCAGGGTAGTGACAGCATAGGGCTGGGGCAGAGCCCTAGTTTTGTGGGCAGGGATGTGCAGGGAGCACATTGTGACTCTGCCCTGGCCCTGCGCTGTCACTGCCTCGCAATCCTGGGATCTCCATGGAGACTGGTCTGGAGCCTTGCAGGCAGGGTGAGCAAGCAGTTGGGGAATGGCATCCGGGGCTGGAGCTGGGATTTTGGGGCAGTGACAGTCTGGGGCTGGGGCCCAAGGCAGAGTCATAATTTGTTCCCTGCATGTCCCTGCTTGTGGAACCTGTGCCCATTGCAGGGGCATGAGGGCAGCAGAATGCAGCTCTGCCCAAGGCCCTGGCCCCACACTGTCACCACTCTGACCCTGTCCCATGATCCTGGCCTTACACACTTGTCCTGCACCTAAACACTGCTCCCCACTCCTCCCACATAGGGAGTTTTGTTGAGTTTTTTTGGGGGGGGGTGGGGCAGTGTTGACCCAGCCTGCAACAGCTCAGCAAAATTCCCTATGTTGTCCACAAGCCCAAATAATTGTCCACCCCTGTGCTAGAAGGATTTTGTGACAGGCTTCTGCCCAATATACTTCATCACCGCAGTCCAAGTGTCTGGGCCAATGGTTAAGCCAGCCGGCACTGAGTGGGTCAGATGGGGCTGGGAGAAGGCGACCCAGTGCGTGTTCTAGGCACCCACCAGGAGCCCTGCTGGCACCACACCCTGACAGCATGTGCAAACCCAGAGCATGCTGCCAGGGGATTGGTGGAGCCACATACCTCGTACAAGCATAGCAGAGAATGCCATACCTGGCCCAGTGGCAGGACAGGGAAAATCTGAACCAGAAAGCCAGCTCACCAGGAGGCATAGTAAACCCAAAGGTAGGTGAGGAAAGGGTGCACCAGGCACTGAACCAATCTATGTTCACAGGGGAAGTACTCAGTGCAGGGTGTAGGGGTGGAGGAGCCCTACAGAAGACACACCAGTAAAGTCTCCCCTGGATCCTCTGGGAACCACCGATCACCATCTCCAGAGGGAAAACCCAGTGCAATGCAGCCCAAGGGGGCAGGGAATGCCCATCAACCAGTACAGTGGTTGTGAGCCTGTCACAGATGTCTTGCCAGGGAATTGTGCCAGGGTTGCAGAGGAGTTGCTCTCTTTGTTCCAATGGAAATTCTGTTCTTTACTGTGACTAAAGCATGATGATCAGTAGAGAATATGCAATGGCCATCTCATTGGTATTGCATGGAGCTGCTTCATCCAGTGATGTGATGGATACTGTTGATAGATGGAGGGCAAATGTGTTGAGTAATCTGGGGAGCAGATGAAGGAGCCCACCTGTTGAGGACAATGCCTGAAAGATGAACATTAAGGACTTTCGAGCTCTGGCTCTCTGTGGCTAATCCTGACTGCTTATTTCGGCAAGTGGTCGGTCAGTTTCTCTTTTGGGTTCAGTTGCTTTTGGGTTACCGATATTGGAGAGGTGGCATCTCCAAGGCAGCATTTATTGCATTAATATTTTAAAGGAGTGGAAATCTTGGTTCATCTTTTAGGTTGTGTAGTAACAAACCCCATACATTTGGAATCTTTCTCCCTTCTTCCCCAATCTCAACAGTGCCTCTCTCTAAGCAGGGTTCATTAACTTCAGATGTCAGTGCCTCCTCTGGTGCTAGTGTAAGCCCGTCTTCCAAACCACGTGGGCCTATCAACTGCTATGTTTTCTATGTGCTTTAGGAGCTTATGCCAGCAGTCTCATGACTTTCAGTGCTGTAAGCAATTTGTGAACTGCCTTTAGCCTGCAGTAAAGTAGCTTGCATTCATGAGGGCTGGGAGATGCTGTAAAGTTGAACTGCCAGGTGCTCTAGGACTCCAGTAATCCAGAAAGGCAAGGAAAATCTTTTAATATGGCCTACCTAGGACAGCCTCACCTTTTGAATGTCATTCAGGCACAGTGAGTGTGACAGGTCAGCACAGGTCACATCTGGTACTTGGATTTTTTTGTCTGCCTGCTAAGTGCTATGTTATTAGAAATCCATGAAGGCAGCTGGGAACTGCTATGTGCAAATACTGCAGCCAGGTCTTTTCTTATCAGGACTCGCCTGCATGTTAAGCCTGTGCTTCTGCAGAATTTGAGTGGTTTCTGGGTCAAGAAACCTGTGTGTCTGTCTGATCTACTTGTTCCATGTAGCAGTGGCAGTACTAGATTCTGTGTCTGAGCAGTTTCAGCTGGGGATTATGAATATCAACCACTTGTCAGTCTGATTATGTAGCCTTGAAGCTCACAGTTACCTATGTGTGGAAGTAATTTGGAAGTGTAGTGAGGTGTATAAGAGGGACACTACTAGCATGGGTGTGTCTGCTATGCCCATCTCTGTAATACCCGCGAAGTTGGGGCACCCCTATTGGGATGCATCTGTCTAGCATCTGAACCTTTTGGGTCACTTACAGCCTGATAATCATTCACGTGCCTTGAGTCAGTTACTGCTTAGGTAGCTGCTTGCAACTAGGGTCTGAGGATACCCAATTCCCAGGCCCTGCTGGCTTGTGCCATCTTGTAAAGCTGCCTCTTGGTTCAGCACAAGGCACAACCTTTCAGTGACTGGTCCTTGACTGTACTGCACCTCAGCTTATGTGACCTGCCAAGATCTGCGAAGCGTTGCAGATCCCTCTGAGGAAATGGTGATGGTAATAAAAGCCCCTCCGGAGACTCAGCTACAGGTTTCGGATCCAACAGAGGTAAGCACATACTCCTCCCCAGTGAGAGGGAGGGACAGTGTCTGGGACCTTTCTACAGAAAGCTATGGGACTTCATAGCTTGCCTCCCTCCACCATGTGTGCAGTACTGCTGAGAGATCCCAGCTCTTGTGGAGGTGTGGGCAGGGTCCCTGACTACAAAAAGAGCTGAATCAGCAGGGAGAGAAAAGTCTTGAATAACTGACTGAGACCCATACTAATCCTGTTGACAGAGCAGTCTATGCCAAGGCTGTCCAGCTCAGGGGGCCACACACTGCATTGAACCACATGCTCTGCAGGCCTGTCATGCATTTTCCCCTCCCCCCCACAAACACACCATGCAGCATGAGTGCCTCCTTCACTGTATACTGCCCATGGGCCACAAGCTGGACAGCCCTGGTCTGGGGCTGTGTGAAGATATGCTCTCCAGAGCTTTATACACCATACCACCTGCAGTGGTTTGCTTGTGGCTCATTCCAACTTTTGAGGGGCTGGTGGCAGCTCAAAGAGGACTGCTGTCCTGCAAGCCTTCCCTTGGCTGTCTCTGAGTGTCCCCTGGATGTCAGCTGCTCTCTCTGCTCTTTCTCAGGCTTTTCAGATTTCTTTGAAAAGCACCCAGGGCCCCATTGATGTGTTCCTGTGCCCTGAAGACAGCTCTGGAGTCTGTAGCCCAGTTAAGAGTCCTTTCAAAGCAGCCCCTGAGGACTCAACCCCAGGCTCTTCTCAAACAGTGGTGACATCCCCGCTCTTACACCCTGCCCAGGATGTGAATATGCCAGTGTTGACCAATGAGCAAGGTGAGCATGTGGGGGCAGGGCATGCTCTCCAGCTTCCTGCATCTGAGGACAGCATGTGCTCCATGGTTTGGGGAAGCTTGGATTGCTGAGATTCCTATTCTGGGAGCTGTTAACACTAGGGGCAGCTCAGGAGGACACAGAAGCTGGGGGCCTGCTGTGTGTTGCTGGATCTGCTATGCTGGAACAATCTAACCACAGCTCTGCTAGGCAGGCTAAATCTGCATGCTTGTATGAATTGTTGGTTTTACATTGAGGATCCTGGGCTGAAAAATGGGAGGAGACGTTTCCTAAGTCAGCTCTGGAAGCATCAGGGCTGGGAATGGAAGTGGTGCTTGGCTCTTGTGATGCTGAAATGGACTCCCACAGAGGAGGCTTCTGTGCTCCGAAGCCTGTTCCATGAACCTGGAGCTGGTTTCCCAGTGCTGGAGCCACTCCTTGTGTCTAGTTTGGTTGGGGTTGTTCTTGGCCTGGATCTCATCTGTCATAGAATTACAGCAAAGTAGAGCTGGAAGGGACCTGCAAAGGTCATCTAGTCCACCCTCCTGCTTGAGGCAGGATCATCCCTATCCAAACTATCTTATACAATCCATAACCTAAACTCTTTATAAAAGTGTCCTCAACCCTGACATGACACAAGACATACCACCCTGATTCGCCACAGGTAAATTGGGAACCACAGCAGCCAATGTCCTGTTCCTGTAAAAGGTTGTTAATAAATTCTCAAGAGATCCTAGGCAGAAGGCCATGTCCCCCACTACAGACTTCTAGGAGGAGTCCCCTGAATTGCAGGTGCTATGATAGTGGCTGCAGACAGTGGGGGCAGCAGCACAGTGGGGGCCCGTCATCACCTAGAACAGTTCTGTGGCTTGGGCTGTCCTGCTTTTTCTGTGCCATATGGCTAGCACCGATGTCTCTCCACCTGCTGAAGGGCACAGCTTGCCTCAATAAACAGGAGGGGATGACAACACTGGGCTGCTTTTTCCCCCTCTATCCCCTCCCTGCCCTCCCAGCTGCCTTTCCTTGCCTCAGTTTTCCTTTCTCTGTCCAATCTTCTCTGAAGAATAAATTCCAGCTGCGTAACTTCCTTCATTCTGCTTCTGCCAGGACTGCTCTCTACCTTTTGAGCCTGGCGCACAGCTGTGCAGAGGTGCTGACCTGTGCCTGTGCTGGGGCTTTCCCTTGTGGGTGCCCCTGAAAAGGACTGTGGGCTATGGAATAGTGCTGTGCAGGGTCCCCACCTGCTCCTATCCCTCTTCTGTTGCATATATCTCACTGCTGATAATGAGCACTAGATAAAGCATACCTCTTGCTAGTGACAGCAGTAGGAAAGGCCAGTGCAAACTGGGGCTGCTGAGAAGGAAAGAGAGAGTTCCCTTCTATATAACATGGGTGGGGATCCTGTCAGTGCTGGGCCCTGTGTTAGGTCTCTGGCAAGCTGGAGAATGCAAGCCTTTGGAAGGGGGCCAAGAGACTGGGCATGATAACAATGGGGACTGCTCAGAGCAGGTGAGTCAAGGATTGTTGTGGGAGGTATCACTTGTTATTGTGTGGAGACAAATTGTAAACTCCGGTTCCTATTTCTGCCTTTTTTAAAAGAGCAGGGCCTTGTCCCCTGTGCTGAAAGACAAATGCAGTATTTGCTTAAGGGAATGCTGCATCTCATAAGTCTTGCTTTAGCCTGTGATGTCTGCTGCTGCACAACATCAAGGAGCCCAGGAATTTAGGTTCAATGGGCTTCAACCTCTTTGTAGTGGTTGACTATGGTTTTGTGTAATTAGGATGTAATATAAAAACACATCATCTACTGGGCAGAGCACTGAGCTGTCAGTTAGGAGACTGTAGTTCTAGTCCTGGTCTGACCATGGGAAAGTCACTGCCCTGTGTCTCAGTTTCTAATGTGGGAAAATGAGAGGCCTCCTTTATGAAGCAGTGAGGTATGCTGCTGGAAACCCCAGTCTAAAAGCTAGGGATCCCTCAGAACAACAGCCACGTAGTGACAGACTACCAAGAAACTTCCCTTTGGGGCAAGTCAGTCCCCATTTTGAAGCACGGGACACTGAATACATGAGACACTGTGGGTGTTTTAATTAGAGCGGCTTTTGGAGCTGCCTTTATTACGGCACCTCCCACAGCCGGATCATGTGTAAAGACACTGCATGTGCGTAGGCAGCCAGCAGATGGGACTTGCAGGATGTTTAACATCGGGTTCTAGTTTCTTGAGCTAGCTGGTGCCACATGCTCTTGCAGATGTCATGCCTCTCTCTCTTGAATTCTTCAGGGCAAGGGGTTGACTGACCTGTACAGCACTGAGCATAGTAGAGCTTTCCTAATGAGGGGTGTCTTGGAATGGGCCTGGTGGGATGAGGATGAGTACTCCCCTCTGAATTGGGGGGGATGTGAGGGGCTGGGATAGGGTTTTGGGAGGGAATTGGTACTTGGTGACTTGGGAGTGGTGTGATCTCAACTGAACTGTCACTTGGGTCCATGTGCCCCATCCTGGTGACCCATTGCATGTCTTCACAGAGCCTCTCCTGCCTGGGGAGAATGTGCTGCCACTGAAGTGTCCAGCTGATGAGGTGAGTCTGTCACCGCTGGCCTCTGTGGATACTCTGCTGGAGCAGAGCAAGGACGATTTCTCCAGCTTCCTCCCAGATGAATTCATTAACCTGTCTCCACCCCAGCCACAGGATTACCACTTTGGCCTGGAGGAGGGTGAAGGCATCAGTGAACTTTTTGACTGTGACTTTGGGGACTTCACACCCTTGGACTTCTGATGATCTCCCAAGGAGCCTCCCTGTCCTGCCCTGGCCAGAATTGGGGTGGGGGGCAGCGGGTGTTCTTCTCAGATGCTGACGTCTGAATGTAATGTTTTGGCTGGCTCTGGTTCTGTGAACCAGCTGGTCTGGGCTGGGGAGGCTCATAATCAGAGCTGACACTGAGGTATTGGGGGCTGAAGCCAATGGCAATTGTTGGTAGTGAATGCTATTTGAAAATGCCTGTGTAAATGGGGTTTGGCTGATGTGGCAGTGGGAGAGAGGCATGCAAGTGCAAAGCTGGTGGATGCTGTGCTGTGAAAGCATGAGGGTTATGGCACTAGGTGTGTTGCGCTCTCCTGAGGTCCCAGGGTATGGCCAGCATCTCTCCTTCCCTGGCATGTGTGCTTTCCTCTGCAAACCTGCTCATGCTGCAGGGAGCTTTGTGCTTCCTGGTGCTGCGTTGGCTATGCTGCAACCCCATGTAGCCACTGCCATAGTAACAAATGCCACTTAACTTATTCTCCCTAAACCACCTCAGATTCCCTGATCTCTTGCCTTAGGGCTTCTCTCATCTCAGACAAGTCGCTTCTTGAGCTGTAGATCCAGATATCCCTCCAGGTACGTGAGCCTTTCCCCCACCTCTCCACTCCCTCTCTTGCCTTAACAATTAATTGATCTGGGGAGCCATCTGTCAGGTCCTTTGCCCAGGTGTGATGCCTGTGGAGCCCAAGAGGGCATGGAGACCTTTTTATGCCAATCTCTAAGCTCATCTGTGGGCAAAGATATGTCCCTCTAGTTTTAGAGACATCCTGATTCTGGCTACCTGCTGCACAGAGAATGCCAGAGCTTGCAAACTGCCTTGATCATGAGGGCCTCTGGCTGGCAAGGAGGGGGAATCCTTCAGGAGTGTAAATAGTAGTGACAGGGTGGCTGTGGATAAGGAATGGAGGATGGGGATGGAGGAATCTTGGCACATACTATTGTTTGCCCTTTTGGTAGTAAGCCTGCTGGATCCAATGACTTTGGGGGGGGGCAGGTTTTGCTGCCTCTTTGGAAGAGAAGTAGAGCCCTAGTCTAACAAGTCACTGGCTGGGGCTCCCTTCTGCAGAGGGACAACGTGTAGAACTCCAGTCAGCTCTGGGCTCTGCGGCAGGAGCAGGGAGGCCAGGGGCATGCAGTGCCTGGATGCAGGGTGGCACTGGTGGAGCTCTTAGCTTTCAGTGGTTCCTCATTACAAAGCTTTAAGGATTCCTTGATTTTTATTTATTTTCATTCCTTTGGAGGCAGCTTTGACTTCCTAGGTGGAATGCATCTGTAGAAACCAGTGCCCTGCTAGGAAGCCCCTATCATTAGCTATGCTGGTTCTCTGCAGGCACGGGGTACAGGGTAGATGATGTGACAGCTTCCCAGGTGGAGCTGTGAGTACAGCAAGGGTTTAGTTTGGGGCTGGGAGGCAGAGAGGTGGCGCTTGTCTCCTTGCAGGACTAGGGTGCCATCTGGTCCTGTCAAGGATTTGTTGAGAGGCTGGGCAAGTCACTTTTTCTCCCTCTGCTTCCATCAGTCGCTGCCAGCAGCACAACCCTCAGAGTGCTGCAAGACCTTCAAATAAATGCATATTATTTATTTATTATTTATGTGGCTTAGAAGCTCTTTCTGAGGCTTCTGGAAGGCGTGAGTGTGTCAGAGTGGGCGACTTCCTGGCATACTAGTTATGGGCCTTGGGGTGCCCTGTGTTGCTAGGCTGGAGAGGTCCAGCCATTAAACACAGAATGGCAGAGCTCCTTGTGCATGAAGCCTGCTAGTGGGTAAGGGGAAGACCCTGGGGGCACTAGCTGCTTTATTGTAGTTTAGCTGTTGGGCCAAAAGTAGGGGCCATGTTGTGACTGGTCAGGAGCTCAAACCATTGGGCAAAGTGGGTTATTTATTGTAGACAGAAAATGGGTAGCAGACCTGGCTGATAAAGACAAAGCTACAGAAAAAAGGAAGGGGTGGTAGAGGTGGGAGTGCATTTGAAGAGGCATGGGAACAGCTTAATCACCCAGGTGAAGGAGGCACAGTAAAACTGAGGGAGAAACTGAAGGCAGCTCCAGGATGTTGGCACGGGGCAAGCAATGGTGCTAACACTGGGGACCCTTTCAGGCCAAGGTGGGAAGGAGACAGCAACCTGGCTGTTTTTGTGCCTCCTTAAGGCATGACATGGGGGTCTCTCACTTGTGAAACAGCAGGAAGCTGTTGTCACAGACTGTTTCCACATACTATTTGGGTGCCTGTGAATGTGTGTCCTGGGCTCAATCTCTTGTTAGTACAAAGGGGTGAGAAACTGCACAGATGTGGTATTTTGCATTGGAGTGCCCTGGCAGGAATGGCTGATTCCATTGGTCCTGCATGCCTCCGATCCTAACTACAGTAGGAGTCTCGGGATGTGACCTCATAACTGGATCTGCTTCTGCTGTGTAAAGCACTGCACCTGTTCCTTCCTACATCCTAAACATGCTGCTACCAGCTGGCTGGCTGGAGCTTAAGGGGGATGGTTTCTCTCAGCACAGCACCAAAGCATAAGCAAGAAATAGTTGAGTGCTTCTTCCAGTGGTCAGGTTTCATGAGTCCTGAAGCCATCCCAAACTCAGGAAAATAGGTATTCCACTGTGCAGTAGAGGATGCATGGCCTGTTGCAGACCGAGCAGACCCTGCCAGTGGGTGCAGTAGCTTGTGTTGAGTACACTGATTGAGTGGCTTTTTCTACTGCTTTACACACGGGAATGTGTTGAGAGCAGACCTGAATGAGCAGGGCCAGCTCCGGCATGGAAATAAACAGGCCATGAACCAAAGCTTTCCTGGGATTGCCAGAAGCGAAGTGCTGGCTGACTGTTTTCAACACAGTGGTGAGCGGTCCTCAAGGGAGTAGGATGTCAGGTAATGATATAACTATCTTAGTTTATGTAAGAACCCCTTGGATGTCAAATAATTGGTTCTCAGAAGCTTCCCAGGTCCTTTGCTCCTCGTTGGCTGGCAGTGCTGTGGGAAGACTCTTGTGGTATTCCAGTTGGAGATCTGGGTCAGGGAACCAGATGTTTAGGAAAATGAGTGTTGGAATGGACCAAACTTTTTATCTCCAAGGTGCTTTTTTGGACAGCACTTCAAGTAGGGTGAGACTTGCCCGTCTCAATAGAACGTCCCCTTTCTGCATGTCCTTGAGGGGCTGTAGGAACTGCCAGGTCCCCATCTTGATGCAGACCTAATGCAGTTAGTTCTTAAATGCACTGGAACAAAAACTGACCAAACCTTGTGGATAGTTTTGGGGAGGGGAGCAAAGGGGTGAGGCCTACAATGTTGTCTTGGCTTAAATGACTTGGTTGTAACTGTGCCTTCACTCCCCTTGCTTCCTGGCTACCTCGCCCAGGAAGTGACCTGGACAAGGTAGCCAGGAAGCACATTCTGTTTTGGTTCTCTGACTCACAAAACTGGCAGCACAACAGAATAGGATTTCTTCAGCTCCACTGCCCAGCCAAGGACCATGCAGTGTGTGCCCCTCTGCAGAGGCTGGGCTTAAAGGTTGGGGTCCTGAGGCTCAGGTTGATGAACAGGAAACAGATTGGCCTCTGAGGGTGAAAGGGCAAAAGAGAATTGAAACAAGTTTGTTCCTTTTTCAAGTGCCTGGGCAGAGAGTTTCCCTCTCAGGCTTCTGGTTTTCCTGACATGTTCCAGGACTCTGTGAACTGCTACAATTCCTGGCAGTCAGACAATCAGCTCCACAGCTGGAGATGCACTTTCACTTACCGCCTTTTTAACAAGCTTTGTGTACTCTTGAGCTTCATGTTTTAATAAACATTTCTACTGAATCTCCTAACTCGGGTTCCAGGTCTCTCTGTCTTTTGGGGAGGGAAGGGCAGTCTGAAATTGGCCCCTCTCAGAAGGGAATGGGTTGGGGATGCCAGAGCAGTGGTTTTCAACCTGTAGTCTGTGTACCTCTGGGGGTCCACAAAAGATGACTATATGATCAATTAAAAGTATGTGAATACCCACACTTACAATTCAAAGGGTCTGCATCTCCATTCAAAATTTTTTAGGGGCCAATAAATGAAAAAAGGTTGACAGCCACTGGCTTAGAGAGACTGGGCATTGCATAGGTGTTGAAGGAGGTGTTGTGGTATTTGTCCATCACTTGGCTTGCACTCTGCCCTTGATTACCTGAGCTGGAGCAGTGGCAATTGGGGGGAGAAGGGGTTTGGCATGTTGTCACTTTGTATGACATGACTGAGGTTCTCACAAGTCTCTGCTGTTTGTATCCTGTGCTGTGAAAGCCTTTTGGAGGTAGAAAAAGATGCAGCCAAATGTTCTGGTCCCCCAGAATTCAGTGCAGTTAGGCTATGACTTTCCCATAATTACACTTCTGGGCTGTGACAAAACTGAGGCTGGCAGCTGAGGCCCATTGATTTTCTTACCTCTCCACAGCCCCTTAACCCCTTCCTCTGACCAGTGCTTGTAGCCATAGTTAAGGTGTCTGAAGTGAGGCTCAAACTTGCACCACAGGAGCTGTAGCAAGACATGTGCCAGTGGTGAATGGGTACCTGGTCATTTAAGCTATGAGTCAAGTACGTTAGCCTGTGGGACACTAAGCTGGACAGATCTTTTGATTGATACTTAGCATTGCCTAGACCTCGAAATGCTTTGCAAAGCTGGCTAAACTTAGTTATCCTTGGTCAGAGTGCATCCGGTGTCCAGAGAGGAAGTGTCTTGCCAACAACCAGGCCTTCTCATTGGATCAGAAATTCAAACATGAGGTTAGAGCTTGGCTTTTTTGGCACAGTAAATCATCGAAAACAAGGCAAAAAGGCTTTACCTACCCTTCTCTTGACAAAGGATTGGGCAATTTTTCTTTATAATTGAACTGTGCGCCATGGCAAGAGAGGGATTTTCTTTGTTACTTGTACCAAAGCCCATAGAAAAGCAGATTTTTCTGATCAGAGCTGAAGCTTAGCAGGAAGAACAGAAGAAAGAAGACTTGAAAAAAAAATAAAGAGAATGCAAATAAATACCAGAGCATGGATGACTTTGGGAAGTGTTCATGCTTTGAAAAGATCTTTCTCTCTCCCTAAAACTAAATGTCTTCCTCATCAAAAAAACATTTTGGGATTAATAATAATGGGTCCCAGTGTTGGTATCAGTGAGACTGCATATCAAGTGCTTGAAAACAGGCAGCACTTTAGAGACATGAAAAACAATTGAGTCGCATTAAAATGCAAAAAAGATGAATTTGGGTAATTCCTTTGCTTGGGACCTGCAGGGAAGTCAAGCAGACACATCATACAAACTTTAATTAGTGAAGAGAGGTACCTAAGCTTTCTATTGCAAAGCAGAAAAATCCTTAAGCCCAAGTAATTGCTTTAATATTTAATTGCTTTCCTGCTTCATCTCAAAACTAGCTCATTCCCCCCTCTCCCTCAACTGCTGTAACAATATTATGTCCCTTTTTAATTGCCTTTATTTCCAGGATCTGTTGGCTGTTTCCTAAAATGCAGCAGTCCCTAGTTTGTTAATACAACTGGAGCTTGTCAGCATGTCCTCCGTGGTTGAAGAGCAACTTAGAAGCTTTTTAAGGAAAGGAGAGTGAGGTGGGGACTGGCGTGTTCCTCAAGAAGCTTCTGCTTAACATCGCTTCCCCTTAAGCCACAAGCTTAGCAATTTTATAGTGGGTCAAGTACATTGTCTCCTCTATTTTTAAGTTTCTGTTCAGCAGTCCACACAAACTAAAGTATCTTCCTGAGCTGGGGTTTTGTTCATGCTGGATTGCTGAGAGAGAGAATTGCCTAGTATGGAAAGTGCCTTTAAATATATATTAGTAGGCTGGGATAATAGGATGGAGGGGCAGGGTTGCCTGCACAAGCTGACTTATAACTGTTGTGCATAGTGCATTGGGTATTGGGATGTGGTTAGCTGCAAGGCCAGACCTTCCTCACCTTCTTTTCACTGGAGCTTGAATTTAAAAGCAATTTGCATATCTCCAAAGGCTTAAGCCTCCCTGACTCTGCTTCCTAAATGCCTTTGTTTCTCCTCCTGTGGTGGTTTGAGTTCACACAAAGTGGCAACTCCTGGTCATGCCTGACTTGCTCTTCTCCCTGTCTTCCAGAGGACATGGTTGGCTGAGCTGAACAGTCTGCCCTTCCAGAAGTTGAATCTATCGGCAGAAGAGTAGATACAAGTGAGCTACTTACCTGGACCCTCTATAAACCTTGGGCAGCATCCCTTCTCCAGGTAGTGCTGGGCTGAGAGGCTTTCCTCTTTACACTGTTTTCTCATCCACCCACTGTCACCTTGGAGCACTGGTCATGTAATTCACTTACTAAGGTAATGCTGTTAGACAAATGGTACCATGCTGGATCAGTAGGCTTGGTATGTGCCTTTGTCAGCCCATTTGAAAGGGCATGGAAGTGACATGAGGACACGGCTATGTATTTCAGCCTTGCCAGTGGAGGGTTTGAAGTTCCTTCTTAGGTGGACAAAAATAGGTCTGGTCAAGGATACTATGTGGGGAGGTAGCTTTAGACCTAATTTGCATTGCTGCAGAGGTATATCCTTAACTGCATGTGTGCTGAGACAGGCCTGCTATAAAGGTATAATGCCAGGGCTGAAGGGAAATTGTGAGTGGCAAATTTGGTGTGACAAGAAAACTGGTCTGAAAGAAGGCTTCTGTAGGGAACTTGATTTTATAAGGCAGGCACTCTACAGGACCCAAGCCAAAAAAAAGCTCCAAGTAAGTAGAAAGTTACTACCGTTCAGAGCACAGGCAGACACCAGCAGCAGAACTTGGCATTCTTAGAGGCCTCCACTCATCATCAAATGGATTCAGTTCTCCCAGATGTCTTACCAGGTGGTTTAAGTCGGCAACTCCTCATGAGATGAGCTAGTTAGAGGGTGCCTGTGTCATAGTCTTGGCCCAGGTGGGCAGATGCCCACTGGCATCCCAGGGGGAGTGCTTAAGTTTTTTCCATCATCAGTCAGTTTGCACTGACATTTATTCCTACAGTTTATGTTTTGGGCAGGAATAGACAGAGGGCTGGGAGAAGTTGCTCAGCTCCAAGTCTAAACCCAGCAGTGAGATAAGCATGTTTCTGGGAGCAGAGGCTGTTTGCCAGGAACTTCTTGCAGGAAGGAGCTTCTTCAGGGTTCCTGAAAATGTGCAGTTCCTGTTCCCAGAAGCATGCAAGCCACTTTGTTAGTTTGGATGCTCTTGATTCTGCCTGTCCCAGACAGCACTCATTCCATTGGCCTATTCCCTCTTGGGAAAGGCAGAGCAGTAGCTCCCTGGTCAAGTGCAGGAGAGAGACATAGCTATGTAGTGCCCCGTAGGATTGTGACGCATTGGTACCAGAAGCCCCTTGCTCAGAGCCATGTTGACTGCATGCTTTGGCAAGTACCCTGATTGGAGAGCAAGGGACAAGGAAGTTGGGAAGGTGAGCTGATGGGACATAGACTCCTTGTTGCCCTAAGGGCAGAGGGACGTAGTTCATGTGATCTGCAGGAGGCTTGGATATGATTCCCAGCCTATGCCCACTCTTTGGATGGCACTTCCTGTCCCAACTAGTATTTTAAACTGATATGATTTGAGAAGTGTTTGTTCTTCTTTCTTTGGCTAGCCTGTGACCTTAGGCAAAATGATGGACTTCCTGGACTGCATGTAGCTAAAACACAGTTGTCTAGCTGCTCCTACTTTTCTTTGCTAGCAGAGGGGATGGTATGCCTCAGCCTACATAAAGATTTTGTGCAGTTTGGTTCAGGGTGTCCTTTGGCTATTGCTAGCAGGGGCTAGGCCCCTCCAGGCACATGGCCTGAGCACCTTCAGCAAAGATTCTGTATGGAATGGAATAGAGGGCTCTTTTTCAGGCAGCACTGCTCTGTATATTGGTGACTGCCCTGAGTGCAGACATGCCCTGCAATACCTCTAGAGAGCACACAGTTGTCCCTGAGGAAGAGCCAGGCCACATGTGAACTGATCGCAGCAGAGATGAGGGCTCATGGGCACAAATGTGACTGGCATCAGATCTGGGCCATGGCTGAGGTCCTAAAGATGTGTAAAGGAGCTCAAGATATCAACTGGGTTTCACGTGTCCATCATGTGACCTGCCTTTATGGTGAGGAGCTCTTATGGATACTAGTGGGTCATGATTCCATCAAAACTTGCTTAGCTGCTGACTCTGGAATGAACCCAGGGCTCTCCAATGACATGGATCTGGAGAACTGTGAGCAGGTTCCAGAACGAGCCCTCGCCCAGGGACTGTCAGAAGCCAGGGCAGCAGCTAGCCAAATTGCCACCAGCACTGGTTTGCCAGTGGCAAAAGTATTCACATCTGGTCCCAGTTGTCTGCTGGGGGTGGCTGCCTGCTTCTAAACAGCAGCCTTTTGAGTGTCCAGGAGGCTATTCAACAAGACAGACCTCTCTCTGTCTAGCACTGGGCTTTTGAGCAGTCTGTAGTTTCTTTGACGTGCCTGTTTGTTCCTAGTGTCTTTGGTCCTGCTCATTTGTTCTTGGTTTCCCATGCCCTGGGTTCTGCCATTTGACTTCATCCTTGTTCCTGGTTCCTGCCTATCTGTTCCTGGTTCCAGACTCCAGCCTGGACTCTTGCGCTTCCACACTGCCTTGCCAGCTCCTTGACCCCTTGTTCCTGATTCCAATCCATACCCCTGTACTCTGATAGCCAGCTCATGGCTTAGCTAGGCAATCACCCATATCCTTCTGAAGTCAGGGGCTTTAGTCTTGGTATAAGCCCTCAACACCCTGCGCTGGATGGTGAATTCCAGCAGGCGATGATCATTGTCACCCAGGTGGTCAAGGACCTGCAGT